CCAGGGTGAGGGTCGTGGCGGGGGGCTTGCCCGCACGGGACAGGGCGGTAGAGTCCCGGTGGGGGGGGAGGGGCGGGTTGGAGCACTCCGGAGTGAAGACAGTCAGCCAAGACGTGGGCGTCAGAGCCGGCGAAAAGTTTGCCGGGAAAAGGGGAAAGAGATTCACTCCAAGTACCCCTCCCACAGCCCGGGCGGACCCCTCTCCTCCCTGGGTTTTTAAAATGTTGCAAGTGGCCAGGCTCGGTGGCGCCCCATGCCTGTAGTCCCAGGCATTCCGGAGGCTGAGGCCGGAGGATCCCTTGAGCCCAGGAGTTGGAGGCTGCAGTGAGCTGTGATTGTGCCACTGCCCTCCACCTGGGCGACGGAGGGAGCCTTTGCGGAAGAAGGTGGCGGGGAGAGGAGGAGAAGGGGGGAGTAGGGCGAGAAGAGGAAGAAAAGGGAAGGAGAAAGAGCAGCAGCGGCAAATCATGTCTTTTTATTTGTGGCCTGTTTTTCTACTAATTTACCTTTCATTTCTTAGAAGTAGCTTTTCCAAAACTTTTTCTTATTTAAAACATCTGCCAGGAACCCGCAATCCTATACGGAACCCCTCTGTACCTGTCACCCAGCTTCTACGGTAATAAACACTTTGCTATTTTATATCATCAGTACATTCACCCACTTTCCATCTCCTCCTGGGTGATAATGATTTATGGCTCTTTTCTTTCCTAGCTAAAATTCGCATACATTTAAGTATCTAAATCTTAACTATAGGATTTTGACAAATGGATAGCAAGCCCATGCAACCCACACACTTATCCAGACACACAGTATTTCTCATTGTCATCTTCTCAGTCAGTAGCTTCATGTCCCGATGTATTCTTTTGTGTCCAGCTTCTTGTATTTGGTCCAATAATGTCTATGAGATTCACTTATGTGGTTGGCATGAGCTGAGTATTATTCCACTGCATGGACACATCACAATGAGTTTATCCATTGTGATGGTAGGCCTTTGGGTTGGTTCCAGTTTGGGGCTATTATGAGTAAGAATTCCATGAATAGGTTAAGCCCCCTTTTTTGTGCTTGCTTACAGTATATATTGTTTTTGAAATAAAATGGCAACTTAGCAAAACATTCCACTAATTTATCATGTTTGAGGCGGATCCCTCACCCCGCCACCTTGTTAGATTGTTTTGAGTTAATATTGTGTTACAGCAAGTGTCCATTAACTTCAACCTTTAAATTTCAAAGTCTACCTATATAAAACTGCCACCTAACATGTGAGTTCTTCTGTCAGAAGTGGAACTGAATGATGCTTTTTTGAATGACAGAAAGTTTTCCCCAGAAACTACCTAATGGCTTAATAAGTAACCCCTCTTTGTTCTTTCCCATTTGCTCTTCATTTTCGTTTTTAGAAGTGAGCCTCTGCATCCTGAGTTGGTGACAGCCGCAGTTGCTAGTGCAGATTCTCTCCCTTTTCACAAGCAGATGACCCAGTCAGAGCTGCCCAGGCACCTCCAGTAGCACGAGGAAGACGCCAGGGCACAGAAAGATGCAGAGAGACCCCAAACAGGTGAGGGAATCAGACAGTCCGTGCAATGGAATAATACTCAGCTGATGCCAACCACATAAGTGAATCTCATAGACATTATTAGACCAAATAAAAGTGTCAGTAACACTTCTATCTCAAAACAGACTGTTTGCTTATGGCTAGTGAGTAATTCACAGAATATGTACATTTATATGTAAGATACACCTCATAATTTCAGCAGTTTGACTTTTTTGGGAAACTTCAGATTGCAGTTTTTAAAAAAACAATTGAACGGTTTAACTTGGCTTTGAGGAAGATAGTTTCTCATTCATGAAAGACAAATGGTAAATTCAGTAATATTATTAAAACAAATAAGAACAAATAACAGTACAAGACAGTTTCTCCGGAAAGAAAACATTTTTTCAGTTAATGCACAGTATGCTCATCTTCAGATATGTTTCCTTCTCTTTTTCCTCACGTTCTTGAGCCAACTTCTTTCCACTTACCCTCTGCACCGCTTGTTGCTTTATCCCAGGTTGTACCACTCGCTGCCCACCTGTGGTAAGTGGTGGTACTGCTTCGTTTTGGAAGGTAGCAGAAAAATATAGATGGCTTTACTGTCAATCGAATGACTCATTTTATTTGTGTTTGAACAAATACAAGGCAGCATGTAAATATGTCAGAATCTCAAATTTCATTCTTGGATGCAGGTGATATGCACCCCGATGTGGATGGTACTTTCCTATCAGCTGATCTGAATGATAATTTTTCCCAAAGCGAAAATTTTAACTTATGTTTTATTGGAAACTTTCTGAAGAACATATCTAAACGATAGAAGTAAATGTAAATCTCAATTGTCTGTCTTAGGTGAAGGTTAATATGTGATGTTTTAAATTTAAGATCTTATTTTGGATACTGTATACTTAATGCATACAAGTTAAATTAGAATTACTGGTTCAAGCCAGGCTCGGTGGCTCAGGCAGTAATCCCGTGCTTTGGGAGGCTGAGGTGAGTGGATTGCCTGAGTCCGCGGGTTCGAGACCCGCCTGGGCAACTTGGCGAGACCTCATCTCTACAATAAATCAAAAATTAGCCAGGCATGGTAGCGCACACCTGTAGTTCCAGCTACTCGGAAGGCTGAGGCGGAGGATCGCCGGAGCCCAGCAGGTCGAGGCTGTGGTGGCCGGGAGCAGCCACTGCACTCCAGTCTGGGTGACAGAGTGAGACTCCAACTCAAAAAAAAAAAAGAATTACTGGTTCAAAAAAAGTTTATTACTGTATCTTAGTTAAAATTTCTAATGCTTCTTAACACATGATTAGTCTCTTTTCTCTCTTTTCCTCTTTTCTTTTTGGATAAGACGTCAAATCCTAAAAAATTAGCCATTCTAAGGATAAAGGAGAAATAAGATTGTTCTCTTGTTTGACACTAAATTTGGTTGACTCAAAAATAAATGAATAAACCCAATACAAATGGGCTTCAGCTTATAAGGCATGAGCATTTCTAAAGAATAATAGTATTTTGGACCTTGGTAGAAATAATGTTGTATATGAGTTAGATTCCCAGGCCAACTCCCAATGGCTCATTTAATTGTTCTGTCAGTTACTTATGTAAACTCCTGATGTTTCCACAATTAGATAAACTCCTTGACATGAAGGGCTGGTTTCATTCATGTTTGTATACCCTGCAGCACCTCGCCAAGTGGCTTTTAGATAATGAGAACTAGCCATCTTAAATTCTTTATTGAACAAACTGAGCAATAAGATATATATACGGAGGACAGGAGTTAATTTGATCCATGTTTGTTCATTTGAACTGAAGGTGAAGCTTGAAGAACAACCCCCTTCGTCTACTGTGAATACCAAATTCTGTCGTGTATGATGAAAAGGAAATACAGAGAAGGATGGCAGATTTCTCTGGAAGGTGAGTCTCCAAACTATTTTGCTGAAATAACATGTGTTAATTTTTCTGAATCCATGTTAAAGGAGAAGAATTACAAAGATTTATTTCCCCGTAGGGAAAGCACCTACAAATAATCTTGCGATAAGCTTAAATCCTGATGGTCTTGATAGTGTTTTGAGAACAGTGAAAAGCATTGTTCTTTGTAGCTTATCCTGTTGAGCTGCTTGGCACAACTGTGTGAAATGTTTAGCTCACAGAAGTAAGTTAGTTTTTCTTAACCATCTCCCTTTAGTGTGTTGAATCTATTCTGGAGTGCATTAAACTCCCAAACTGAACTGTTATGTTTAATAAGACAATTTTGGTGTTTAATTATAAAGGAAGAATTAGAGCTGTTGGGTATTAAAATATTAAAATACTTAGGAGAAAGTTGAAAAAAGACATGGACGTGTTTGGCCTCTCCTCTCACGCCCTGTGGTAAGGTGTTTCTGTGCTGCCAGAAGCCTACTGGTTCATTTGGGCCAGCCATTTCTGGGCTAGAGGGCCACAGCATCTCAGTGACCAGACTAAATTCAATGTTCTGTAGGGCTTCTTGTCTTGGCAAGACCCCAGGTTAGACCCAGATTACCAAACAAAGTCTTGTGTTCTCAGAGCTTGGTAAATAGAGCTTGACAGTTTCCTCAAAGAATTGTGTTCTGCAGTCTTGGTGTTTTTATTTTCACCATCTTGCAGCCATCACTGTGTTGACCTCTGGAAGTGTCACATCAACTGTTCTTGAGACAAAATACCATTTACTCTATTTTTTTTCTAGACCCTGTCCCTTTCATGTTAAGTGATAGAGTTGGTGGAATTTGCCCCTGGCTTGCTGTATACCCAGTAGATTGTACCCAATCCAGAAATTCAAGTTTTTTCTTTGTCTGGAAAACAAGCAGAATTTATTGGAACCCTTATGTGTTGTGAAAACCAAAGGTGTGTAGAGGTATGTTTTCCCAACATCTAGTATATGTCTTAAAACTGGGGATGTAAACTTCTGTGTTTTGATTTTAAAACCTCTAGTTTTCTTACACTTTCTGTGATCTGTGAAGCCTCTGTGGCAACTGTAGTCATAGGGCTAGAAGCTAAAGGGTCAGGGAAATGAGGGGCTGACGGATGGGAGTGAGGCATGTGGGACGTGGATCCCCTTTGGGCCGGTTGTGCTACAGAGCAGTGGTGTGTCTGCTGTGAGCTTCTTCCTGAAGGGAAAACCATTTTCCTATTTTGCTCCCCCCCCATACTTGAAGGATGGTCAGAAGCTACTGAGTGGTGATTCATCTGAAAAGGCCTGGATTGAAGCAAAATAGAAAGTAGGACTGACTTTCAGCAGGAAAGTCCACAGTCTCCTGCCCAGCACTAGTTGAAGTTAGCCCTGTCAGCGGTAGATCTTCTCACAGGTAGTCCATTGAGATTTAACTCAAGCCGGGCTCGGTGGCTCAGCCTGTAATCCCACACCTTTGGGAGGCTGAGGTGAGTGGATTGCCTGTGCCCGCGGGTTCGAGACCTGCCTGGGCAGTGAGACCTCATCTCTACAATAAATCAAAAAATCAGCCGGGCGTGGTAGCGCATGCCTGTAATTCAGACTACTTAGAAGGCTGAGACGGAAGGATCGCCGGAGCCCAACAGGTGGAGACTGTGGTGGCCGGGAGTGGCTACTGCACTCCAGTCTGGGCGAGAGAGTGAGACTCCAACTCAAAAAAAAAAAAAAATAAAAAAAAAAGATTTAACTCAATATCGTTAATAGAAATAGTCTGAGGCGAGTGGGAGTGAGGAATAAAAGGAGAATTTTTTGAAATTTTATTTGCTTAATTTATGGCTCATTATATGGGTGTAATTTGTACCATTGCAAATCTGTACTCCACACAGAACTATAGTAGCTTGAAATACTGTATAAAGAAATTTGAGTTTCTATCATTAAATTATTTACGTCTCATTTGACTTTGTGATGAGTTTCGCTTAAGTGCTTTATGTGAAAGAAACTGGAAAGCACGTTCTATGATCTTATCCTCCAAAAGGAGTCAGATTAAAGGGAGTAACAAAGGCTAAAACTGGGCTGCTGCACTGGCAGTTGGAAGCTTTTTTTGGTACATTTAGGGAAAGTAAGTGCCTGCAGCCAGGCTGCCCACCAGGCTTGCGAGGCTATTGGCTCCTGACAGGTTGCCGCCTTCCACGCCCACTGTGCTCCCATCTGTGTCACTTTGGTACCCACAGCCACAGAATAAAGTATTGTTCGGTCTCCACTTAAAAACAAAAGGAACAGACAAAAACTACTGGCCACCCCTGAGCTACTGACCTGGGTACCTTCAAACCTTTTCTTTGTTTTCACTAACTGGTTTGTTGCTGTTGTTTTGTCTGTGTTTTCTACAGAGTGCAAGTTTTTCAGGAATGAATATTCTGTGTTTTAACAGAGACACCTGTTTTATTAGTTGCTACATTTATTTCCTGACAGACCCTTGAGCTAGGTTGTTGAGAGCCTTGTCAATAAAAGGAAAATTGTTCAAATAAGGATGATTTCGATACCTCCAAAATAAACCTCATTACAAGGACATTCACAGCCTGAAGATACAGTGGCAATGACGATACTTCAAATACATTAGGCCCCCAGGACTAAAAAAGAAAATGTTCCCTGTGGATATAGGATTGACTAGTGTTTACAGTGAAAAGGTCACTTTCCTTCACAGAGTTCCTCAAGGTGAGGTGCAATTGGTTGTGAGCAGGGGTGGTGCATTTCAAAATAATAAATCCAGATTATTCTAAGACAGATATTTCTGACTTTATTTATGATGTTACACACAAGCAGAACTTACCAAAGATTCTTTATCCTTCTCATCCCTCACCCTCATGTCTGTGCATAATTAAAGAAAGTCTGTCACGTAAGCTGCGGGTGTATTGCTTGGAACCAGAGAAAAGTGTGTGTTGGGTGACGGGAGACTGCTTGTGTGAACACTTCTCTTCTCTGGGCTTAAAACTTAGTCCTTGCTGTTTATCTATCTATAGTTTGTAAATCAAGTAGAGAAAGAAAATAGAAATTCGCTTTCTAATCTGAAGTGACAAATGTGAAACAAGCAGGGAATAAATTCTTGTCCAAAAACCAGATAACTAAATGTGTATTGGGAGGATCCTGATTATTAAATATCTCAACTATTTAAAATGAAAGTTCTGTTTTTCAAAGTTCTTCAATGTAACACCTGCTGTTCCTATGTACTGTGTTTCCAATGATCTGACAAGATGGAAAATGTGTGTACAGTGTATTCCTTCAAAAAAGGAAAAAATAGCCACCGGCATTTTACCTATGTATTTTTCTTTGTCAAGAACAAGTGTTCATGTATATGAACATAGGCATTCCAACAAGCATATAGATTTGAAAGAGACAGATAGCAGGGATGGGAAAGAACAGAATTTTTTTAGAAGTTTAGCTGCAGCTGCCACGTGGCTTCAGGCCATGCTGCACCAAAATAAACATCCACTGTGAAACTGGTATTGTAAATGCTCCATATCCATTTCTTATGAGGATTATCCAACTGGTATTGTGATAGATAAAGCCTAAAATTAGAAAAAAAATGCATTACATTTTATTTCAGGGGTAGGTAAAAAGCCACACAATAGGGCACTAGTGGAGGTTCCTAAAAAAGACGTGTTTACCATGAGGAGAAGCTAGAACCAGTTTTTCCTCTCAGTTGGTTCCTTCTGCCTTTCTGGAGAGAAGCAAAATACCTTAATCTTCAATAACATGTCAGTAACACCTGCTACAGATTCTTTTAACATCGCCTTTTATGGAATGAGCAACATTCCATTTTAATGAACTATCTGCATTTCTATATGTGACCAAGATCATCCTGAGATATGTGTCCTTCCCACCTTCCCGCCCCAGAACAGGCTGTCATCAGCTCTTGAGAAGTTTATGAGGATTTTTACTACTGGTAATACTTGGTAGCTGGTAGGGGCCCGAAGGGCACCTCCGGTGAGCCCCGCTTTCCCCAACACTTCACGTCGTCACGTGGATTCCGGCAGGGAGGATCTTAGTGCCGCCCCTTAGGAGGCTTTCCTTGACCCCGAATGCTGTTTGCCCTAACACTGTGGTTGTCTTCTTACCTATGTAGTTTGACTTCTCCTCTGCTGACCACCCAGGAACTCCTTTCAGGCAGGGAATTTTTTTTTTTTTTCCCTGAAATGAGATGGGAACAGATGGAGAGAGGGGAAAGGGAGAGCCCAAGTGGTGAGGGAAAAATGTGCCTCTGAAGGAGTAGGTGAGAAAATGACATGGGGACATTTCTGCCAAGACAGAGTTTGTCTGGAGGACACATAGGTCTCCTCCCTCCATCAGAGGCGCTCCCCTGAAAAGCCTACCCTGAGCTCAGGCCAGAGGAGCAAAGAGAACAGGAGAGAAGGAAAGGGGATGAAGCCTCCCAAATTCTGGATGAAAAAAGGAGGCAAAGACATCTAGGAGTTGGCAACACAGCCGAGGATCGCTGGACTGATGAGCTTTTCAGGGAGAGGAGTTCATGTGTGAAAAGAGGTAGACAGCTGAGTTCAGATCATCTGCATCTGAAACTAGGAGCAAAACCCTCCCAACTAGTGGGAATACTGGCCCTCCTGCCTGATTCTTCAGTTATACATATGGCACTCACCAGGTATTGAATTAATGATGATTCTTCTGATTACAAGTCTTTTTCCTCGATGAAGGTGATTTTGAGCTTTGACCTTCTGAAAGTACCGCAGGTCTCTGCAAAGCTACAGAAACTGCAATGTAAGAGGAGATGAAAAATCTAAAGTCAGCATTCCTACTTTATTTGCTTTTCTCTGTGTGTGCATGTGTGTTTCTCTGTATGTAGAGCACTTAAGAGTAGTGAGTCATTGAGGGACTATTTACTGAGTACCATTACATAACTGGGCATTTTTATGGGTGCTGCACCCACTCTGTAGTAACCTTGGTGGCAGAGCACTGAGTTCAGGAAAAAAAAATGGGCTATGGGATCGGGGGGGTGTTGGGT